CACGGTTTATTAACTCCTGTGCATAACATGCCTGTAAAAGTACAACTTTAAAAAAATAGACTAAACTTGACTGATCAGCAGCTCTTACAATATAGGAGTCCAAGCAAACCCGTCAAATATATGCCATCTGATATATCATCTGAGATTTTATCAGATACGTCAGCTAATATTTCGTGTCAATTTGCCATCTGTTACTTAACTGAAAATATCAAAATTAATAACAAACTGTTAAGTTATCCAATTCAGTAGTATGCTGATATAATGTTATAATATCCAGAATTCATTCAAAACATACCTACTGAAGCTCAAAAGAGATGAGTTTTATTATTTTACGTTTTGAAAAAAATTTCGATGTCATATGGTACCTGATATATCAGTTGATGCATCACCAGACGTGTCATCTGGAATTTCTTAAAAATGTAATATAATAAAAAAAGTGCATTGGCGCACTAGAGAACCGTAGATTGCACAATTTAATAGTTTGTCACCAGTTTTAATGATTAAGTTTGGTTACAGATGACATATACATTGAAACAGCATGTTAGCTGACATGTCAGATGACATCTTAGATGACGTATTAACTGATGTTTATAAGGAGAGAATAATCACAAGCTATATCTGCTTGGCAAAGTCAGGCAATCAAAATTTGACTCAAAATAATTAAGTCACGTTTACTTCACACTGTCAGGCAGAATTTTTTTGGTTCCCTAGTAGACCTATCTTTTTATTTCCTTCTCTGATCACTACAGTTGGTGGAGTGGCAGTATATAAAGCTAATCTTATCTTGTTCTTTTTCAATGCATGTATGAGTGTGCAGTTTTACACCACATTAAAGAGCTACGAAACAGACTTCATGCAATAGAACGAGCTAATCATAGCTAGTGATCTTTTTAGCACTTCTAATTAGAGCTATTGTACACCTTTCTATTCTGTTGGGACAAAATTTACCCTGTTCACATGCACAGGAAAGATTGATGGGTATCTCATTTAAGTGCATGAGTGCAAGTTGAAGGTTGGTGTACTTTTTTTTGATTGAAGTAACGTACCTTTATGGTTTGCCGTGCTTATAAGAACAAGACAGACTTTGTTGGTATTATGTTTGGCACTTCCGCTCAAACATCTATAGAGTTATTAATTAGTTCGGAAATAGGTTCAGTTGGCACAAACTGGAAGGTTTAAATAATAGACGCCCTTAGTATTGATACTGAGTATGTTATGAGGTTTGTTAGAAAGTAGAAGTATTCAGAGAGCGAGGCTCGTGACTGCGATGCCTCTATACGCGTGTTTATTGGGTTGATCCACAACACTCTGCTCAAGTGGTCTCGTTGTCTATCGTAGAGACTATACACACACACTCGCAATAAGAATAGGCAACGCACACGCGCAACTCTACATACGGAGACTCGATACATCACAATTCCTTCCACCTTTTAAATATGCGGCTACCCTCGAGGAGCGTTCGAGCTTTTGTTGATCAGCGCTGATCAGCTGATTTTTAGGGCGCTTACATGTTTTTTCGGGTGCGACATTTACACGGTATGTTGCCGACGAGATTTGTTTCTCTATTACACCTGGCACTTGCTTTTTTTAATCACTGCTGTAATTTGCTATGCTGACATTTTTCCGTAATTTGAATTCTACATTATGTGATTCGGTTTTATGTTCGATATTTGTTCGGTTTTATCTCAGAGAGCCACTCGCATCTATCGCTATTAGTAGGAGAACGATTGGATTTTCTCTGGTGCGTCTCATTGATACGAAATTTTCTCAAACATACAGTACACTCGTTATTAGTACAGTCACGTGCTGCTTACTGCAGTGGTTTGTTTTTTTGACATCTCAAATTAATACGGATTGATTTCACCACCAGTAGTTTTTCTGTTGGTGTGCACGAGTGCGCGCTAATAGAAGTACTCGTGTGCAGCAGAGTTCTCAATAGGCATCTCACAAGGACAGTCTCACCCAGAAGCATTCGCAAGTTGTCTTGATTTCCAAGCACCGTGTTTGTTTACATCAGACAACGTAGAGTAAGCCCCTACTATCAAGACGCTAAGAATTGTGTGTGTGTTGTGCTAGTGCTTGACTTTCAAGACTTTATTTTTCAATATATAAGTTACGTGACTTTCAATTACAGTGCTGTTCAAACTTTTCTCAAACTTTAGACTATTTTCAAATTATTTTTGTATCATATTCAAACGCGAGTNTGTGCTAGTGCTTGACTTTCAAGACTTTATTTTTCAATATATAAGTTACGTGACTTTCAATTACAGTGCTGTTCAAACTTTTCTCAAACTTTAGACTATTTTCAAATTATTTTTGTATCATATTCAAACGCGAGTGTTTTCATTTAATTACCATTGTCTTATTAATTGCAGTACAGTTAATTTTATTTAATTTAATTTAGTTCCAACTTTCTTGTGGATATGTTGCTGACTTTTCTCTGTTATTTTTGAATACATTTAAATCTTTTTATATTGCCACTGTGTTGTGTATTTCACTACCTGATAAGCCCCACGCCGATCCCTTCTCACAGAAAATCCACTCAACATTTTGGTCCTTCGTGCCGGATAGCGTGTTGGCCGTCTGAGTGGTGATTTTAAGTGACGCTCTCGTGTATACACTCAACGTTCAGTGACACTCAAGGAGAAAGCAGTGACGTTCAGTGAACTCAGTGTGTGCTTCAGCTCCCCCCTCAGGCTTCGCAAGGACAAACTGTGCCACCGCAGGATCCTGTGTCTGTCAACATTGGCGACGGAACAGCGCTGAAGCTTTCGGATAACATGTCGCGGGCGACTACCCGGGCTAATGCAAACACCGTTTCGACTGGCCTTCTTATGCAGGTCATCACCAATATCGGACGCATCAGCAGTATTCGGGTGCTGAACGAACGCATAGGAGAAGCCGGCGAGACTGTGACGTTGGCGTGTGCCGATCAGTGGAAGGCTGAGTGCCAGGATCTGTATGACACCTTTGGTAGGGAGCATAATGCAATTGAGATGGCGTGCCCAGCGGTTCTGACGCAACATGAGTATTTCACTAGGAGTGCTGCTGGAACAGTATTCCAACACTACTCATCCACCATGCAACGCATTGCTCAAATAATAGAGAAGCTCACACCAGACACTCATAATAACAGCTCAGCTAGTTCATCTCAAGGAGCCACTCGCCATGGCAATCGACTGCCGGAGATTAAATTGCCATGTTTTGACGGTAATTACGCGGATTGGCAAGGATTCAAGGAGCTCTTCACGAGTATGGTCATCGAGGATCCTCGGCCCTCTCAAGTGGAGAAGCTTCATTATCTGCGCACCTCCGTGAAGGGCAGACCAGCTGCTTTCATTCAAGGATATCCTCTCTTGGGCGACTCACTTGATCTGGCTTGGGCTGCACTGGTTGAGAGGTTTGAGAACAAGAAGTTTGTGCTCGCTCAGCATTTCGAGTCCTTGAAACGCATTCGTGTGGCTCAAGTGAATCAGCCAGCTTCACTCAACCAGGTCATCTTGGAGCACTTAAGATTGCGCAAACTCATTGTCGCTATGGGCACTCCTCATCAGATCCTGGATTCCGTATTTGTGGATGGTCTGCTTCAGCTTGTTCACAAGTCCACTCGAGAAGCATGGAAAACATCTGCTACATCAAAGACGGAACTCCCGGCAGTTGTTAATCTTGAGGAGTTCCTCGTGAGTCGGGTGCAAGCTCTCGAGATGATTCACGGAACTGGAGGCTCACAGCATGGATCAGCTCAGCCCCAGATAAAGAAGCCGTCAAGGCCGCAGTCAGCTCACACCAGTCATATTCAACAGACGACTAAATAGACGGCTCGCAAGGATACTCAACAACAGAAGGACTCACACACTGAGAGGGAATTGGTGGGGCTGCTCCTTTGGATACAGAAGAGACGCGCCACCATAGCTCTAGTGGCGCCTCTCTCCTACCTAGTACAGCTGCTTTCCCAATCTAGGCGAGCAGCTGCTCAAAAGTGTCATGGGACAGCTCTCCTAACCTATTAAAAGAAAGTAGCTTCCACTGTGGTGGCTCTGTTGCTTGGGCCAGTGGCTCAGCGCTCCTGACTGGGAGAAAATAGCCTCCAGTCCAGCAGGAAGGCAGTCCTGCTGCAATGGAAGCAGAGCTACCGCTTTTAGTGACAAGTTATCTCCAGTCGGTAGACAGGATCTTCCGATTCTCTCTCAGTGAAGGTCAAGCCTCCAATCAAGGAAGTCACTCAACGAAACGACTACGCATGTGATTCATGCGGCGACAAGCATTTCATCGCTACGTATCCTCAGTTCGCTGCCATGTGTGTGGAGCAGCGACACGGGATTGTGGTGGATAAGAGGCTCTGCTACAACTGTTTGGGACGTCATGCAGCATCAAGATGCCAGAATCAAAAGCGCTGCGTAGAGTGTGGTAATGTTCACCACACGATGATTCATGGAGCCCTGGGACTGAGAACAGTCGCCAGGGTCGCAGCACCGGCAGTGAACACTCACACTCAATAGGTTCTTAGCACAGTCATCCAATCACATATGAATTCTCTCCAGTATCTTTCAACATGTAAATCCCGGAGGCAGTGCTCACCTCAGCCAGGCTCACTAAGGAACTGCTCATTTAGTCAAGCTCAACACAGTAGGACACTCCTGCCAACTGCAATGGCATCGTACCGCACTTCAACGGCCACTCATTCAGTAAGACTTCTCATAGATCAAGGCTCAGAGTTGACGTTTATCACGGACGCTCTGGTGTCTCAACTACACCTTAGATGGACCCACTCATCAGTATCGATTGTTGGCGTTGGAGGCAGCCTTGCCAGTAAGACTCTAGGTAGAGTCAACATCAGATTATATTCAACTTACCGAGATCTCAGCGTTGAAGTGGAAGCGCACATTCTTTCCACCGTATCAGCCTCTATACCATCGGTCTTCGCTTCAAAGTCTGAATGGCAACATTTATAAGGTTTGAGTTTAGCTGATCCGAAATTTTGGTTGTCACGAGGTGTGGATATGATACTTGGTGCTGATTTCTTCCCTCAAGTTATCAAGCCGAACATCATCAGAGGGCTAGCAACTGAACCCATAGCTCAGCTTTCACTCTTTGGTTGGCTCATCTCAGCGCCTATGTGTTGCAATCACAGTGTGTCCCTCTTTAGCCAGTCTCATCACGTCGTTTCAATAAGTGACACTCAGCTGCAAGATCTACTCACTAAGTTCTGGGTTCAAGAGGAAGTTCCACTCAACTCAGATCACGCACTCACCCCAGAGAAAGAGGAGCGTGAGCAGCATTTCAAGGAGATTCACTCACGAGATCCATCAGGTAGATACGTGGTACGAATACCGTTAAAAAATTTTGCCTCATTATTAGGTGAATCTCAACAGCGTGCTCAAGCATGCTTTAAGCGCGATTCGAGCCGCATCCAGCGTGATCCAGACTATGGCAAACTATATGTTGATTTCATGGATGAGTATTTAGCGCTAGGTCACATGCGCCCCATCAGTTTGGATCACCTCTCTAGAACACCTCATTATTATTTGCCTCATCATGGAGTGCTGAAGAAGGATGGAGATACCTCCAAGATTCGTGTCGTTTTCAATGGTTCTGCTCTGACTTCTTCTGTTTTCTCTGTGAACAGTATTACTCACACTGGCCCTAATCTCTTGGCTAACATCATGGATGTGATTTTATGGCTCAGATCATTTCAATGGACCTTCTCAACAGACATTTCAAAGATGTACCAGCAAGTTGATGTTCACTCCGATGATTGGGATTTACAACGTATCATATCGAAGGATAAAACTCAAAGAGACACTTACTTCCATCTTACAACGGTCACTTAAGGCACAAGGGCTGCCCCCTTTCTAGCTACCCGCTCATTGCTACAACTTGCCCAAGATGAAGGGAGTAAGTACCCTCAGGTGGCCGAAATCCTGAGAGAAGGCAGGTATGTTGATGACATCTTTGAAGGAGCTGACGATTTATCCCAGCTTAACGTTCAGGTACAGCAACTGTCGAATCTCTGCAAGGCGGATGGCATGTCCTTGGCTAAATGGCATTCGAACTCGCCAGAGTTTATTTACTCAATCCAGAGCACCTCTCAACCACTCTCATTGGATGATTGCAAGGCTAAGATTCTCGGATTAAATCGAAGGCCTCACCAGGATAGTCTACTGTTTAACTCTGAATTACTAACAATTCCTCAACAGCCCACTAAAAGGATCATACTGTCAGAGATCTCTCAAATATTTGATCCCTTAGAATTCATCTCACCAGTTACAATCTTGGCGAAGATCATTCCTCAGGAGCTCTGGATGTTGAAGGTTTCTTGGGATGAGCCTATCCCAGAGTCCTTATCTTCTAGATGGCTGCACATCAGAAGCGACGTCACTCTTCTGGATGCCATTGCAATACCTAGGTAGTTTGGCACCGGCTCAGCAGTTACAGTAGAGCTGCACGGCTTTGTGGATGCCTCGCAGTCAGCCATGGGCGCTGTAATTTATTTTGTTGTTAAGTTGCACTTAACTCCAGCCTCAGTCTCATTTGTCTGCTTAAAAACTAAGGTTGCTTCACTCAAAAAATTGTCAATTCTAAGGCTAGAATTGACAGCTGCTCTCATATTGGCAAAGCTCACAAGATATGTTGTGCATCAAGTTAAGTTCACCGTAAGCAAGATTCATCTCTGGACCGACTCAACAGTAACTCTCTTTTGGCTTAGATCTCACCCTAGTAGGTGGAAAGATTTCATGAGAAATTGGGTCACTCAGATCATCGACCTTGTTCCATCAGCTCAATGGAGGCATGTGCCAGGAAAGCATAACCCTGTGGATTGTGCGTCGAAGGGACTTCTTACCTCTCAGCTTGTATCTCATGATCTGTGGTGGAATGGTCCGGTCTGGATGACGTCGGATGACAGGGGATGGCCTGATCAACCAGACACCTTTCAGTTCGACGACAGTTCAGAGGCTCGTCCAACTGCAGTCCTTGTGGCCACTTCCAAGCCGTCAGATTTGTCATCTCAGCTGCTCAAGTTCTGCTCGACGCTTCAACACCTATATCGATTAACCACTACAGTTGTGCTCGCATGTGAAAAGTTCAAAGCCAAGCTCAAAAGTCAGACTCACTCTACGTCTGTGACGGCGGATCTCATAACTCAAGCCAAACTCTTCTGGATCAAGTCTATTCAAGCAGTTCTTCAAAGATGATATCTCACATCTCAAATCAAGTACTCTACCTAAAGGACATGTCTTCGCTCGGCTGATGGCCTTTGTCGATGGCAATGACATTGTACGAGTTGGAGGCAGACTCACACACTCAGCACTCAATACAGCTGCTATTCTCCTAGCTATTTTACCTCGACACTCACAGCTTACATCTCTAGTGGTCAAACATGCTCATCAGGTAACTCTCCATGGTGGTACTCAACTTACTCTCAGTCGCACTCATCACGAGTTTTGGATCATCGGTGGAAGAGCTTCCATCCGATCCAGCATTCTTAAATGCGTCACGTGTGCAAGGTACCGTGCTCAATGTGCGCAGCAAATGATGGGTCAACTGCCCGAGGCCAGAGTGACACCATCGAGACCTTTCTCTCACACTGGTGTGGACTACGCTGGTCCACTTACCATCAAATCGTGGAAGGGTCGAGGCTCAAGGATGTACAAAGGCTGGATTTGCGTTTTTGTGAGCTTCAGTTCATCGGAAGTTCATCTCGAAGCTGTAACAGATTGCTCAACAGATGGATTTCTTGCTGCTTATCGCCGATTTACTTTACGCCGTGGTTTACCATTGAAGCTTTACTCAGAATGCGGTACGAATTTTGTCGGCGCCGATAAAGCTCTTCGACAGCACTACACGGATGCTCAACGTTAGTCTAGTCCACTCACAAGAACACTCTTATTACAAGGTACGACTTGGAAATTTAATCCTCTAGCTTCTCCTCACATGGGAGGTAAATGGGAAGCCGCAGTGAAATCAATAAAATTTCATCTGCGTCGTACCGTTGGAGAAGCACTTTACACATACGAAGAAATCAGCACTCTACTCACACAGATTGAATCAGTGCTCAACTATAGACCTCTAGAGCCAATAAGCAATGACTCAGAGATTTCGAATGTCTCACGCCTGGTCATTTTCTCATCAGGTCGGCACTCAATATACCTCCAGAACCTAGCTTACTCGACTTATCTCAGTCTCGACTCTCCAGGTGGTAGTTCATCCAGGCACAGCTCCAGAGGTTTTGGAAACAGTGGTCATCTCATTATCTTCAGCGGCGGCAATCAGTCTCCAAGTGGCATCATCCATCTCATGAGGTTCAAGTTGGCTCACTGGTGCTAATCACCAGCGAAACAATGCCACCAGCTAAATGGTCAATGGCGAGAGTTCTCGAGATTCACCCTGGAAAGGATGATCTCACCAGAGTAGTGACACTTAAGACGGCTGCTTCGACTTTGCAACGACCTGTGCAAAAGTTGATTGTTCTGTCAGTCTATCGGTGATCAACCAGTGGTTGATGGCGGGCGGAATGTTTGAGAACTTGCGTGGATCAAACTAGAGAACGACCGTCCCATCTCAGCTGTGTTGTCTTGTTGGTGTTCGCGCCCGTGTGTGTGTGTGCTTGTCGGTCGGCACCGCTGCTGACTGCCGAGTCGCGCGGCGCTTAGGAAGCCGCTGATTGGTTGGTGCCCGCTGAGTGTTGAGCGAGCCGTTGATTTGTTCGGTTTTATCTCAGAGAGCCACTCGCATCTATCGCTATTAGTAGGAGAACGATTGGATTTTCTCTGGTGCGTCTCCTTGATACGAAGTATTCTCAAACATACAGTACACTCGTTATTAGTACAATAACGTGCTGCTTACGGCAATGGTTTGTTTTTTTGACATCTCGAATTAATACGGATTGATTTCACCACTGGTAGTTTTTTTGTTGTTGTGCACGAGTGCACGCTAATAGAAGTACTCGTGTGTGGCAGAGTTCTCAACAGGCATATCACAAAGACAGTCTCACCCAGAAGCATTCGCAAGTTGTCTTGATTTCCAGGCACCGTGTTTGTTTACATCAGACAACGTAGAGTAAGCCCCTTCTTTTAAGACGCTAAGAATTGTGTGTGTGTTGTGCTAGTGCTTGACTTTCAAGACTTTATTTTTCAATATATAAGTTACGTGACTTTCAATTACAGTGCTGTTCAAACTTTTCTCAAACTNCCCCTTCTTTTAAGACGCTAAGAATTGTGTGTGTGTTGTGCTAGTGCTTGACTTTCAAGACTTTATTTTTCAATATATAAGTTACGTGACTTTCAATTACAGTGCTGTTCAAACTTTTCTCAAACTTTAGATTATTTTTAAATCATTTTTGTATCATTATCAAACGCGAATGTTTTGATTTAATTACCTTTGTCTTATTAATTGCAGTACAGTTAATTTTATACAAACTTTTTTTTGCATATGTTGCTGACTTTTCTCTGTTATTTTTGAATACATTTATATCTCTTTATATTGCCATTGTGTTGTGTGTTTCACTAGCTGATAAGCCCCACGCCTATCCCTTCTTACGGAGAATCCGCTCAATACGAATGCAGTTCGCGATTGTACATCAGTGCTGCCGGACTTTTTCCAGTCGTACAATGTTTGCAGCTTCTGGAATCGAATAAGAAAATGTTTATTGCATTGGTTAAGCTCTCTCCCCCTTTCCAGATTTTTCCTACGTTATCTTTGAATGTCTGAACGAAATTTTCGGCTGCGCCGTTAGTAGCCGGATGATACGGTAGTGAAAATGTATATGTTATTTAATTTTTTTTTGTAAAATTTGGAAATTTGACACTAGTGAATTGTGCGCCGTGATCCGAAACAATTATCCAAATCTTGGGAACAGATTTTTGCATTCCTCCATTACGCGATAAACTTTCGTATTATTTTTGAAATCGATCACTTCAGGCCATTCTGAATGAGCATCGATAACTACAAGGAACATGTGTCCCATAACGAGGCTTAAAAAATTCAGGTGTATTCTGGACCATGCTCTTCCGGGCCATGGCCATGGAGCTAATACCGCTTTTCTCGGATTTTTCTGCGATTCAGAACGAATTTCGCATGATTTTACAAGTGTTTTGATGTACTCATCGATGCCTGGCCACCCAACATAAGACCTAGCAAACATTTTTATTTTTACCATACCCATGTGTGACATGTGTAGTTCGCGTAATATGGTTGGTCTAATCGATTCTGGAATGATAATTCGAATTCTTCATAGTAAGCAGTTACTATCAATCAAAGGTTCTTTTCTCTTATTTTAAAAATTTCTTACATTTTCTGGAATTTCAGTAGGCCATCTATCTTTTACATACAGTAAAACTTGTTTAAGAACAGGTTCGCGCATCGTTTCTGTTTTTACAGTTTTCCAATCGATCGAGTCTATTCCTTGCTTTACATAATACATAGGCGTGAGATCTGTGTTGAAGATTTGATTATCATCTTTGATTGGTAAACGTGATAGCGTATCATAATTTGCATTATCTTAAGATTGAATATATTCGATCGAATATTTATAGCCCGATAAAAAGTACGCCCGTCTTTGCAGTCTGCTTGATGTCGTAATGTGTATCCCTTTTTTCGGTCCAAAAATATGTTGCAGTGGTTTGTGATCGGTTCGCAGTATCATTTCTTTGCCATAAAAAAATCGTAGAAACGCTTGAATCTAAATACTGTAGTGCTTGCCTCCTTGTCAATTATCACGCGATTCAATTCTTTTGTCGAAATTTTCTTTGACGCGTATGCTATAGGTTTCTCGGTGCCATCGTCATATTTATGTGATAGTACAGCTGATAGCCCATACGCTGACGCATCACAAGCGAGTATAATTTTTTGATTTGGATCAAAATGTGCTAATACGCGAGGCAAAAATAATTCTGTTTCAACCCATTTGAATGCTTTCTCGCAATTTTCATTCCATTCAAATGATTTCCTATTCGCGTATTCGTATAATGCTTGTAAATTCACCGTTCTATTTTTCAAAAACCGAGCATAAACATTAATTAATCCTAGAAATAATGCAATTTCTTTCGTAGAAGTAGGCTTTGGAGCTTTTACCATCACTTTTACTTTCAAATTCGATTTATGCAAACCGTTGCGGTTGAAATTAAATCCCAAAATTTTGATTCTTTCCTTCAAAAATTCACTTTTATCTTTATTGAATCATAAATTATAATCCGAGAGACGTTTACGCACTTGCTCTTATCTTTCCACGTATTCTTCGTCATTTCGACCGGTAACATAAATATTATTGAGGTACGCTATAACTCCGGGTATGCCTGGTACCCATTCGTCAATTTTTTGCTGAAAAATTCTAGGCGCTAACGCTTCCCCCTCCCCATCTTAGTACAGCGAGATAACCCTGCGTGAGTAGTTAGTGTTAATAAGTCGTGACATTTTTCTTCTACGCTGACTTGCATGTAAGCATGCTTCAAATCCAATTCGGAAAACCGCTCTCCTTCCTAAAAAGTAGCGACAATATCATCTCTTCGATATAGTAGGTAATTATTAATTATTATAAATGGATTCAACGTAAGCTTAAAATCTCCGCAAATTCTAATTTTCCTGTTTGACTTCATGATCGATACGATGGGCGAGGCCCATTCGCTCGATTATACGCGTTCTAAATGCCCTAATTTTATTAGTCGTTCGATTTCTTCTTTGATTAAAGGCTTGAGCACGTGTGGCACATGTCTTGTTTTGAGTGCTACCGGTTTCGCTTCGTCTTTCAAAACGATTTTGACTTTACTTCTGTTGTAAAGGCCCGGTGTCGACTCGAAAAGCAATTTATATTCATTACTTATGTAATCTTGAATGTTTTCATTGTTTATTTTGAACATTGTATCGAGTTCTGTTTACTTACTAAGTTACGGAACGGCCAACACTCGAAAGACATAAGCCACTGACGCCCGATTAGCGGTGGTCCTGTGCCCCACATAACATGACAATTTAATTCACGGGTCCTGCCGAATAAGGTGACTTCAAAATTTTTAAGTTCTCCCAATATTTTTTAAATTCCATTATCATAACTACGTAACATATTATTCAACTGTTTGATGCTATAATTCGGAAAATATTTATTTTTAAATTCTCCAACATAAGCGAATAATTGCCCGTGTCGATCTCCATCGCGATCAATTTATTGTTTATGCTTACGTTTAGAAACTTGGGATTCACTCGATCGCGTACATTCTTTAACAATTTAGCATTACCTTCACACATTGCGCAAAAATCTTCGTAGTAGTAAACGTTCTCCGATAACGAATCTGTTGCACTGCTATTTGCTGCTGTTTCCACTTTGCAGCTGCACTGGCATGGTCTGCATTCATTGGTAGCTTCCTCTCTTTCTACGTACTTGACCGATGATTTATTCTTGGTTTTACACGCCATTTTAATGTGTCCTTGCTTTCCGCAGCCGTTGCATTTTGCATTTTTAAATCAGCATTCGGATGCCACATGATTGCTTCAATAACATCGATAACACTTGACGATTTCTTGTGTGTTATTGGATTTGTTTCGTCTTTATTTTCTTGACGAGCTTGGTTAAACTTGCATCGTTCCATCACTTCCAATGGCACCAGTGCTAAGTGGTCGCTTATTATCTTTTTAAGTTCATCGTAACTTTTATCTACTGGCTCATGTGGCGTACATAGGTTCTTTATCAGCTTGAAGGCATCTTTATCGAATTTAGTAAGCATAACTGCTCCTTTTTTCTCATTTTTGATGTCCTTTACTGTAAATATTATTTTAAGTCGATCCACGAAGATCTCCCAGTCGTCCTTGCCCAGCAAAAATTCCAATTCAGATTCTGTTAACATTTCCAATTCTTCGTAGTTTTTTACTCTCTCGAAACCATCCGTATCTAAACTATTATCTTGCTTTTCTTTTCCTGTTGATGGTACGTTTTCTTGTAGTGTCTTGACAAATACTTTCCTTGATTTGTCTATTTTCAAATTTTGCTCCGCTTCGATTTTCCTATCAGTTCTTTTATTAACTGTTCTTTATTCAACTTATACACCCATCTGACCTTAACTTGAGTTTGAGCCTTTGATTCGTTATCACTACCGTCACTCATTAGCACTTTGCACGTGTAAGTTTTTTGTAAGTCCTCGTTGCCACTGTTATGTTTGACACTTCCGCTTAAACATCTATACAGTTATTAATTAGTTGGGAAATAGGTTAAGTAGGCGGAAACTGGTAGGTTTAAATAATAGACGCCCTTGATATTAATACAAAGTATATTATAAGGTTTGTTGGAAAGTAGAAGTATACAGAGAGCGAGGCTCGTGACTGCTATGTCTCTATACACGTGT